TCTCTCTCTCTCTCTCTCTCTCTCTCTCTCTCTCTCTCTCTCTCTCTCTCTCTCTCTCTCTCTCTCCATCCACACACACACACACATTTTTGTTGCGCACTTTGCAGGCATGACAGACAATGTGGACCCAACCTGATATGCATCATGGCAGTTCCTCAGGTGCAGCTGATCCTCAGAGGTGCACCACCGCATTCAGCAGCTGTGTCAATTGGTGGAGTGCTTTACACTTGGGGTCAATTGGTGATGTGCACCACGGCAGTTCCTCAGGTGCAGCTGGTCCTCAGGTGCACCACCGCATTCAGCAGCTGCACTCCTCCTCCTCCTGAGCTTACACACACGCAGCTGCACTCCTCCTCCTCCTCCTCCTCCTCCTCCTCCTCCTCCTCCCCGCCCCGATGAACAGAGCTCCTCCTCGTCCTTCAAGAAGGCAATGGATGGGTTGTCATCCCCTGCTCCCTTCTTGTTCCTCTCTCACGTGCTAACGTGTCCAATTGCACGGAATGGAGGCGGCGGAGTGAAAACGTTCCCCCTGATCTTCCCGCCCTTCTTTGCTGTTGCCCAACGTATCTTCTGCGTGACACGTGGCGTGTCCCAATCAACTAACTGCCACGTGACCTCCTCTCTCTCTCTCTCTTACGCACCACCGCTCTGCTCGTGTGACACAATATCGATGACCCCTCTGATTCATTACTCAATTAATTACTAGTATTAACACGTGTCAGTTTCCCGCACGATCTACTCCTTTGTGCGCACTTCCTCCACGTATGCCTCCGACCAATAGCGCACGCATGCCTCCGTTCCGCGGCTCTTCTCTCTTATCACATGTGGTGCACGATAGCGAGCGCGCGCACATGCCTCCCTAGATTGCTGATGTGGCTCTCGTCCTCCTCCACCTTCAACGCCTTCTCAGAGAGAGAGAGAGAGAGAGAGAGAGAGAGAGAGAGAGAGAGAGAGAGAGGCGTGGAAGAAGGGAAGGAACACTCACCTTCCGCAAAGTACTCCAAGGATGTCCAAGGCCGCAGCAGGTTGCAGTAGCAGACGAATGAACTCCACGGTGGACTGCAGCAGTGGACAGAATGTGGAGTGGAGTGCTGTTTTTTTGCGCGGCGGCAGCCTGGAAAACCAAGGAGTTTGAATTCGAATTTTTAGGGCCTACCCGCTGGAGGGCATCCCAGGAAGATGCATCCATCGCAAAAGGGCAAATCGAACAGCCACCACGGGAAATGGGACCGGCGGTCCGGTAGGGGCATTCTGAAAAGTTGCGCCCCTCACTAACAGGGGCCTGCACGAAAGTTCAGAGGCCCCAGGGGTAAATCAGGGTAAGTCGGCCGTCGGAGGGGCAAAACGGAAATAAATGCAAACTTCAGGGGCATTTCGAAAATTTCCCCGAACAGCAATCCTCATATCAAATCAAAGATGAAAAGGTACAATAACACACACACACACACACACAGAGAGAGAGAGAGAGAGAGAGAACAGCACACAGACTTTTCTTACCAAAACGTGAAGCGAACAGCAATCCTCATATCAAATCAATGATAAAAAAGTACAATAACGCACACACACAGCGAGAGAGAGAGAGACAGAAGAGACAGCAATCCTCATATCAATTCAGTGATGGTACAATAAAGAAGACAAACACAGAGAGAGAGAGAGAGAGAGAGAGAGAGAGAGAGAGAGAGAGAGAAGAGAATAGCTAATCTGGTCGACAACTGACAGAAAGCAGGAACAGAATGGAATCATTTGCATGGGGCTTGCAATGGTAATGCTTGGATTTCTTATGAGGACGGACATCCTCTCCAAGACAGTGACCAGGGCCGCCTACTGATTTACTACAACATGGAAGGCAGGAATATCGGACCTCGCTCCATTGCACAAATTGGAAATGTGTCTGGACCCCTAATGGTGTCGATACATTCAAAATGTTCCCGCTATGAATCTTATCTTGTCCATATTCAGTTCCAGATCCATGTCGGATGTTGCACAGCGGAGCGAGGCCCATAGTTTTTTTCTCGGCGAGTATCCGTCTTCCCCCGAACACAACGCTCCCTGATAACGAGTGTATACAAGCTGCCTTTCTGTCCCGCTGCAGCCAGAATGAGGGTGCCTTGTGTTCGGAGGAAGCCTATAGCCCTAGGCCATGGTGATTTTTTTTTGTCCTTTTTTGTTCCTTGACGTATGCGTCTTTTCTCCTTTTCCTTTTTTTTTCCTTTATGTATGCGGGAGACATCTTGGACCAGGACTTGAGAATCGGAGGTGACTTCCTGCCCCTTGGTAAACGTTGGAGCAGCATACAGTCCCGCATAGCTTCCTCATCAGTGAGATTCCAGTTTGCTGCTACAACGGCAAGGAGGGCCAGTCGAACCCAAGGAGTGGTTGGGTGTTCAGCAAGGGGGTGCTAGAACTACCTTATTCCCCCGAATACAACGTACGGTCATTATATCTGTATCTAGACTGAAAGATGCCCCAAATACGGCTATAATGACCGTACGTTGTATTCGGGGG